TTCTTTCTATTTCGATATGAAACCATATTTTTATTTGAAAATGTCCAACAATTTTATCTAAAAATCTTTCTTTTTGCTTAAAAATAATTAAAATTAAAAAAATTATTTTAAAAATACTTTATTTTTTAAGGTTAAAAAAGTTGTCTCATTAATGATAAACTATATTTAAAAACGGCCATCAGTAGCTACTTTGTTTTTTTTTTTTTCAAAAAGCAAACTTACTTTATAAATAAAAGAAGTAAACCGCTGCAATTGCATAAAGTAAAAATGTTGTGCAAAACGCACAGAATTAGGATAAAATTAAAAAATCTTTTTAAAATATTTTAAAAAAGATATTTTAATTTTTTATTTTAAAAATGATATTTTTAGTTACTTGACTGTTAACACCGTTATTCAACAGTTAAAAAAAACTAAGCCTAATACTATAGAATTATTTTAAGTTGTTACAGCGCCCTCTACAAAAAATCTACTCATTTGCCCTTTCAAAACTTAACAAAATTTATTTTGATACTAAATAAAATCTAATATTTGACAAAGAAGAAAAAATTTAAAATTTAGTTTGTATCTCTTTGATATCTAATAAAATTCAAATATTTGATAGAAAAGAAAAAAAATTTAAAACTTTTAATATATAGTAATTAAGTCAAAAAAAATTTTACGTCACCCTAATCCCTAATTTTAAAGAACAAATTTTGGGCATAAATTTTTGAAAAAAATTAATAATCATGAGTGAAAAATTAATCTCTTGACTTGATATCATCAAATTTAAAATAATCATCATTTAACAAAAGATTTACTTGTAATATATTTTTTTAATAAAAAAATTCTCAAATTTGTAGAGAAATAACAAGTATAATGACAATAGGATTTACCTCAAGAAAATACATACAATTTCAAATTAAAATTTTTGAAACGGCGATCGCTAGCGATTGGTGAGTCTTTCTCTTTTGTTTTTCTCTCAAAAGCAAGCTTACTTTACAAATAAACAAAAGTAAACCACTGCAGTTGCGTAAAACAAAAATGTTCTCACAAAACCCGCTGCAATTAATTAACAACCACCATGCATTCTTTAGATTCCAGCTTTCAAAAGATCATCTGCGAAATCATTAATTTGCTACTCTTAGGAATGTGTTTGGTTTTGCCATCTTCCCACTTAAAGCTTTAAACGGAATTCCTCAACCTTCACGGAGAATTCCAAGGATTCAAATCATTTTCTATCAATAAATATTGAGATTTTTCCTATCTAGATGCAATGAAGACAACAATAGTTTCTCCGATGGTGACTAATTCTGCAAAGTTCGAATCTTCTATTCCTACTGATTTAGTGAACATCACCTTCATAGAATCCACATCATCACGCACCACCACATTACTATCCATAGGACCACACTTGCCTCGCGACAAACCGTCCGCATTATATTGGAGTACCAATTGGTCATTTATCATGTGCTTGAAGATTTTAAAGTTCATCCACAACAGATTGATGGATTCACACTGTAATTTTAGTAAAGAAAAAAAAGATTAAAACCTTGTTGGTTGTAAGTTGATTCTCTTTTCTTCTCTTCCTTTTACTTCATGCTTCTGCAACTCAAGTTTGAATGAAAGTTTCCAAAATGAAAGATTCATGGAGCATGCCCCACCTCAATCCTCCACTCCAATGAAGGCTTATGTGACTATTCTAAGCAAAACTACCCCTTTTAAAGCCTTTACCAATCTCATTTCAAAGTTTCTTATCATCAATTTATTTTTCTTGACTCGAGTTACAAATGATGTGTCCACCAAGAGAAAATAAGGTATTTTACAAGCTAGGCTATCTTGTGAGCATTACACAATCTAGCTCTTTTGATCATTTAATTTCAAAATGTAGGTGAAGGATAATTTCAAAGAAGGGGTTAGGGAGTTTATGCTTTACGTCCATTGGAAGGAACTTGAGCAATTTGATCATGTTTGAAGCTCTAATATGATCTTGACATATACCAAGTTACCAAAATTCTAACTCTTTAAAAGAGCATCTGGTGTGCTTGATTTTAAAGAATACAAAAGAAACAATTTTGTAAATTAATTAGCTATTCTATTTATCCTTGCTTAGACAAAGATTATCACCCTTTGACATCTCATGATGAGATTGATGAAATTTCATAACTTTAGTCCCTTTTGTATTCAAGCTCTAGGTGGTTTAGAATCCGAGAGTAATTGGAGAGATGATTTATAAATTTTTATTAAGATGAGTTCATTCCAAATAGTAGTCACTAAATCCTTTGAAATCATTTTCACCATTTCATTTTCTTCTCCCATTTTCGATATTCCCACCAACCTCAAAAGAAAATGAAAAAGATTAATTTGAAGGACTTGGCCCATTTCAAAGATCTTCCTAGGGTTAAGTGGTGGGTTAGTGGCAAACAACCAACCGATTAGTGCTAACGATGATCGGCCACCTCAGTTTGGTTAGTCGACGTCAATTATCTGAGCGGATTTAGGTGGCGACTTTTTTTCTTTTTTGCATATATATAATTGCAAGCCCTTGAGGAGCATTTGGTTTTTTTTTTGTTCAATATGAAAGTTTTTATACGTTTCATATAATAAAAATATAATAATCATCTAGTAGTGCTTCACCCCGACAATATACTATAAGTAAAAAAATTATTAAATTGTCTTTAATAGTACCACTCTCAATTGAAATTTTATTTTTTATAAGCATCATACGTGACAATAGCATTATAAAATTTGGCAACATCGTAATTTTTTTGCTTTTTAAAATTTTCAACTATTTTCCAACTACATTTCTTGGGTTAGTAATTTATGTTGAAATTTCGATCAAAATCCATAAGACTTTTACAACAAAGGTTTTCCAATGAAATTTTTTCTGTCAAGTCGCAGTGAAATTTTGGTAGGGTTAACATACATACCTCATCCTCCGTAAGGCAACTGAAGGATTCAGCATCCATTTAACCAACTGAAGGATACAAGTTTTTAATGTTGGAATACAAAGTAACAAACAAGGAAATGTTACTCCCTCCATGTCTTTTTTTTTATTATTTTCATAAAATTTAAGATAAAATTTTTAATAATGGTGGTGTTTTATATTTGATCATTTGAATGATTTCAAATGAATAGAGAGAATTGCTTTTGTCAATTTCTCATTGCAATTGATCATTACAAAACCCCTTTTTATATACAATCCTCTATAAAAAAGCAAAGACAAAAGAAATACAAGTTAAGGATAAGCGAATTTTCTTTATTATGTTTAATTAACACATGTTCCTAAGAGAAATATATAGTTGAAGGTAAGGTTTGTTGATGTAAAGGATGTATTTAGGTAATTTAGCTGGA